AGAGAGGTTATTCACAGACAGTTGAAATGGTATGAATATTTGGGTAAAGATATTCAACTAAAATTGAAGTAAATCAATGTAACTTGAATGTTACCGGACTTGAAATGATTATTTTTTTTTAATAACAAATATGGTGTATTTAAGAAATCAATACGTATGAAAGAAATTCTGATTTATGTGTCTAAAACAACTCTATCATACTCTGTGTTTATTCATATAATTCGGTGATAACTTCAACTGTAAGCAGTTATGTTTATATTTCGGATCTCCTAATTTGCTTTGCCGTCATTCCAACACTAAAGTATGTCATGTTCATGTTTTCTTTTTATCACCACTGAGATTTTTAGTTAGTCTGTAGCTTAGGAGAACTTGTCAGAGAAAATAATGTCATTCTTTACTGTGAATTCTATCTTTTTGTACGTCAGTGGTTCAGAGATAGAATGCTCGCCAACCACGCAAGTGGACTACCGTTCAAATTCCGGCTAATGCATGCCTAGACCTCACTTAGATGGTAATAAGCCTGCAAGGGACCTTCAAAATCAAGTTGAAAGCCATCACGGTAGCTAGACTATTATTATTATTGTTGTTTTATTTCTTCCCACTCCGAATGAAGTATAGGGCTGCAAGCTTGACCTTTGAAGTTTTAATAGCAGTGGCGTTTCTTTACGCGATGAGGTTACTAACTTCATCCCCAAAACTCCCCTCTTTACCGGGCAGACTGCCAACTAAGTGAGATCTAGGGGCGCAGTGGCCAGGATTTGAATCCCAGCCCATGTACATGGTTGGTGAGCACTTTATACCTGAACCACTGACTCAAAAAACAGCTGTAGATAGACTACAGTTCAAGTTCAACACTCAGAAACTGAAGGAAAAATAATACAAAAAACACCTTTACTGCAACCACCACAGCAAAGTTGGAGACATCACATGGCACCACTGGGGAAACATGTATGGAAGAACATTGAAACTCTCTGGAAGTGATGTCCAATGAGACGTGCAAAAGCGTTTTAGGAAGAAAGAAGTGGCAAGACAAGGAATGGCTCCCAGCGGATGCCTATCTGGAAGCTAATAGAAGGGAGGAGAGGAGGATGGTGAAAGAGAAGATGGCTCAATGCAAAGATGGACAAAAGAAGAGGAAGTAAAGTCCAATGTACGCTGCACTGAGTAAGAAAGTGAAGAAGAGTGCCAGGAAGGACAAAAGACGATTCTACTACACACTGGTCGACAACTCAAGCAGAGCAAGCAGGTCGCAGGTAAAAGAATCCTCAGAACATCAATTCAGATAACCAGGTCTCTATCCGGGAAGAGATAGACCCAGATGGTGAAACCAATAAAAGATGCTCAAGGGAACCTGATTACCTAGGAGGAGAAACAAATAAAACAATGGGCTGATCACTTCACGGGACTCATGAATCCATCATCACCTACAAATCACACAGAAATACACCACCGCCGACAGCACACCCAGAACTGCCTACCAGTGGACACCGATCCTCCAACGAAAGCAGGAATCCTGAATGTGATCAAGCTACTGAATTCCGGGAAGGCAGCAGGGCCACATGGTATACCCCCATACCCCCACCCACCGAAGCACTGAAACCAGACCCACAGACTGTGGCACATCTGCTCACGCCATTATTGCAAATGGTTTAGAAGGAAGGAAAGGTGCCTACCGATTGGAAGAAGGGCTGGCTACCTTGTCAAGCTACCACAGAAGGGTGACTCAGGCATCTGCAAGAACTGGCAAGGATTAATGCTCTTGTACACGCTAAGTAAAATACTAAGTGGCATCATTCTGGAGAGAATAAAAGATGCACTGGCTCCGGAACTCCGTCAACCGGAACAAGCTGGATTCAGGAAAGGCGAATCATGTGCTGATCGAATTGCAACTCTACGCATCATCATCGACTTCGAAAAGGCCTTCGACAGACAGTGTTGACCAAGAAGTAATTTGGGAACTACTTCAACACTACGGCGTGCAGTGTCCAAGTCTTAATCAACCTCATTCAACACCTGGCTATATAACAATGCCACGTGTTAGTCAGGTGATCCACAACGGAAAACTCGGTGAGGCATTTTACGTGAAGACGGGAGTAAGACAAAGCCAGATGCCTATTTTCACCGATGTTATTCCTAATTGTGGTGGACTGCATTATGCGTCAGACTGTGCGTTGGTAGTGAGAAGACAGGAATACGCTGGACCACCGATAAGAAGACTCTAGAGGATTTGGATTACGCAGATGACTTGTGTTTACTGTCACACAAACTCGAAGACTCACAGGCGAAAAGCAACAAACTGGCAGAAGAAGCAGATGGAGAAGACAGGACTCTCGGTGAACGTAGAGAAGACAGGGGTGATGAAGATAACCAACCAACAGCGACAACAACAACAACAACCAGCACCAATCACCATCAGCGGGAGAGATTTGACAGAGGTTGTCTCCTTCACTTATCTAGGCAACCAGAATCGTTTCGACCACAGACAGACCCTGACACGGATGAAGATGTCATAGCCAGCCAGCCAACCAACCAGAATCGGAGATGCAGGATACGCCTTCATCAACCTGAAATCAGTTTGGAAATCTTCTACACTGCACTCCGCCTCATCACAAACAATAAGATTTGGATTTTCAACACAAATGTGAAGTCAGTCAGTCAGTTCTTCTATACGGTTCAGAAACTTGGCCGGTGTGTCACGAAAAGGATTTCCAACAGATTCCAAACTTTTTTCAACAGCTGTCTTCGCTGAACATCAGATGATGAGAAAGAATTAGCAACAAGAATCTCTTGGAACGAACGAATCGAGAACCTGCTGCCTAACCATATGCAGATCGGATACACGCTGAGTAGACAGTTTGATCACAACGCACTTTAGGCCGTCGAGTGGAATCAGAGATGGGAACGACGAGTTGGGTGTCTGAGGATGATATATAGGAGATCGTGTGAGGAGAAGGAGGAGGAGGTGAAAGCTTATGGGAAATTTCGGGGCCAGATGAAGATTACCTCCAAGAAAAGGACAGAGTGAAGACGTGGTGATGAAGCTTTATTTTCCGTTCGGAATCCAAGGGAATTATGATGCATAAGCCTGGTAAAGGGGGAAGGTTGAGTGTGAGGCTAGCAACTCCACCCCGTAAAAATAATAACACTGCAGCTGTTGAAACTTTTAAGCTCAAAAGCTGAAGCCCTATGTTCCACTGAGAACACAAAAGGACATAATAATAAGTTCCGCCTTTCTCGTATTACCGCTCTTTGTTCCAAATTCAATATAACTATATTAAGTGACTAAAATTCTACCAACCGTAAATGATATACACATAAAGTATAATTCATAATAATAATTCCATACTTATACCAAAAATACTGTGGGGTTTCAAGCTATAATCAAATAATTAAAATTAATAATAATAATAATAATAGGGATGAGTTCAAAACGAACTAAATTATACTTAGTGCTTTGAACATATTTTGAATTTCTGTATTTTAACTAGTAGTTTGTGAGTCAGTGGCACAGTGATAGCGTGCTCGCCAACTACGCCTGTGGTCCGGGGTTTGATCCCCTGTCGACGCACTCCTTTACCTCACTAAGCCAGTAATAAGACTGGTAAAGATGGTAGATTAGGCATGAGGCTAGCAACCCCATCCCGTAAAACCAAATACCACTGCTACCAATGCCTCTAGCTTGGAGCCCTATGTTTCACTGGGAACATAAAAGAATTTTTTTAAACTAATAATTATGATCTCTAAACTTTCCTACAAATATTTTACATACCAATTCCAAATTCCTTTAGAAATCAACTTAGTTTATCCCTATTGAATACTGACATTATGAATATCATGTATAAAACAAAAGTACTGCTTTTCTGTTATTATTGTTGAACATATTGTTTACTACAAGTAGTCAGGACTGTCTGAATCAGAAAACGTAGACCGTAGAGCCAAAATGAATTCATTTCCGGGCAAACATAAAAATAGCGAGCGCATCATGGCCTTGAACACATGACTTTGATTGGATTATAGAACCTGTCGTGTATCCTACATAAAAAGTCGTTTATTTACGAGCAAAATTAAAACTGTAGTAGTGAAATACCTTAAAGACGATATTTACCCCTAATATAAGGGAAAAATAGTTCCCGACTGCAATGACCCTATTCCTTGTTCTAACACTAACCTTAATACCTACACTAACACTAACCCTAATTCTAATCCTAACCCTAGTGCGCAATCAATTCATTGTCCAAACAGTACTGATATCAGGATGAAATTCGTACACCGATTCGCTCGCAGGGTTCATACTAACTCTGTAATAACAGCAGGTCCTGTAATCTAACGAATGATTTGCGTTCAAGGTCAATGGTATGTTCGCCCTCCGTGGTCGTCATTCTTTAGGTTGGCCCATTTCCGTTTACTTATCTACGCCTAATTAGAAATTAGCGGAACGGTGTACCCACGATAATCGATAAATCCAAAGTAGGATTTGAAGGTTTATTTCAAGCGAACAGTTTAAACAGATAAGCTTTCACTTCTATTGAACAATACTTAATATAATATTATGATAAATATGTACAAGAAATCTGTTACTTTTATTAACACTATTAATTTAACTATATAAAAAATATATATATCAAAGTCAGTATTGGAATTATTGTACAGAATCACTTTTAGAAAGAAAAAATGGAATGATTCGGATTAATTTGCTTCAAATAAATTAAGACAAATTAATAATGTGAAGTTTCTACATGAAGTTTAAAATAAACTTTGCACTTTTGCTTAGAATTATAGAAAAGAGAATAAAAATGTCATCTAGGTGGGGAAAAAGCTAAATTGAGTATCAGTTGGTTACAAGTGATAATGAATTTATCAGTAATGAAAAATTTTAAAACAAATTTCAGTGGGAAACAAGGCGGGGGGGAGATGTATGAGATTTTTTTTTATGAAGGATAACTTACACCCCACGTATTGCAATAAAGCGGTAAACACTGAAATTCTTCAGTGTTCACTGCTCAGTACAGTGATTCACTGTTTGAATCTGCAAAGCGGTTCAGCTGAGAATGCAAGCTTATAAGAAGACGTCCAGTAGCTTTCCATTCCGCTTCACGTTCTTCATTCGTTTGTCTCCTGAAAAATGTTTATATAAATTAGAAATATATATATATATATATATGTTGTGATTCATCTAACCTTAGTTAATTCCTTGTACAGAAATATAGCCTTTGCTCATACTCTACTATGTGGAACTCCATTTGTGGTGGTGTGATACAGATAATGTGTTCCAACGGAATATTATTCTCACAGATTCCCACAGTTCAATACTGCATTAGCAACAGAATACTATGTATATTTGAACATTCTATTTCATGTCGTTTGATGTAAACCAAAATCACACTCTCAGTGATTGGCTGAAGAATGTAAACTATATATATATATATATATATATATATATATATAAAATTTGGTGCATGAAATGACATGGATTCTACTTTTTTGTCAATTTCTCTTAAGTATAGATAGATAGATGTAGGAAATCAGCAATAGCTCACTTGTGAGTATTATCTCTTGCATACGTGTAGCCTATCATGATCCATGGATGCCAAATAAATACACGAGAAATTAAAAGACACATTAGATAACAAGAAAGAGCCAACACTTTCTAATCTATACAATTTCGATTATAATATCGTGACGCAGAAGTTGGAGGTTCGAAACCGGTAAAATAAAAGATTCAGGTTCCACGATTAAGTAATCAGCCATCTGAAAGTGATAGTAGATAACCGAGTGAATTGGAGATGTGCAGCTGAGACCCTATGTTCCACACGGAAAAAAAGGATTATTGAAATATTTTGTATTCGTAGGCTGTCTATTGAAGTTATAAGAATAAACATCTTGAAGACATTTGAGCAGTTTTGTTTAGATTTAACTTGTGTGCATTTAGCCAACTATATATATATATATATATATATATATATATATATATATATATATATATATATATATATATATATAGTTCAGTAGTCAGTCAATAAAGGAAAAATTTTGAGAATAAATGGAAAATACATTAGTAAGCTATCAACATGAAATATGTACTTGGAATGTGTGCTTAATATGGCTATCTTCAGCTAATTTGTGCAATCACAATTAGCTAAACAAGTTTTAAAAATCTCCTCAATAAGTGATTATGTTATTGATATTGTATTAACTTTGAAGGGAAGTACAACTGGAATTTCAGAGAACAAAATCCAAAATTACTTTGTAAAACAGCATCTAAAAACTTGAAAGAAACTATTTCGGATGCCTTAGTATCATCCAAAAAAGTCATCTAATTCGCTAGCTGATTCATGACGGAAAAATTAACTCCTATTTTTTCATATTTTCCTGTGTATTTATATTAATAAATGATCTTAATATCGTTGAATTAGTTGTATTCTGACTTGACTGGTTTAATTCTGAAGCTTTTGTCGTCCTTCTAGACAACATCGCTTCAGCGCAGGTTTTGGTATAAAATGGATTTATTCAGATTCTCCACGAATGATGTCATTCTATCTCCTGGCAACCACTGTCTTGACTGGTTGGTAGTTTACTTCTCTACTAATCATTTTTATTGACTTGCAATTCGAACTTTCTTGTCATATGATTTACTTTTTATTAGCCGATAAATTTGGTCTGTGTTTGTCGTCAGATTTCCGAACATCACCCTGCGTGGTTAAGTAAAGGACAGAGAAAACCTATTCATAACTCTATTCTGTCTCATCTCGTGGATACAGAACACAACACTGATGTTAGCAAGGCTTTCATAGTCATCTACCACATACCAACTATTCTCAACTTTACCTTCATTTACTACATATTGCTGAGGCTGTTGGGGTGTACATTTCAGAAACCTAACTCACATATCCAAAAGAAGTTGGTTCGGACACTGTCCTTATCTTGGCCATCTAGGTTCTAATGATCCTCAATTTTTCGTACAAATTTCCTTAATTTTAGTTGATATTCTACTTGCTATTATATTTTTATTATTATTATAATTTATGCATCTTTAATGAATCGTAATTGCATTACTAAACATTACTTACTTAACAAATCGATATTATTTTAAAACACCAATATTTTGAAATAATAGAGAAGATTTGTAGCTCACATCATTCGATACTATGCAAATCGAAGGATCCAACAGGAAAAGGAGATAAAATTAATAGCATTTACAAAATAAATTGTACGAACTGTAACAGACATTACATCGACTAAAGTGGGCGTCCCCTTCGAATCAGAGTCCAAAAACACAAATTAGCTGTGGAAGGACATGATACATATTCTTTCATACCAATGCATGTAGATAATTATGGACTTCAATTTGATAGGGATAATGTCGAAATTTTAAACAGAGGAAACACCAAAAGTGCCAGAGAATTCCTAGAAGCCTGGTGCTCAGTAGAATATGCGATTAACAAACATGTCAATATAGACCAAATCTACAAACTAATAAGGAGTAAATCATGCGACCACAAATTTCAAAATCCAAGCCAATAAAAAATTATCAATACAGATGTAAATCGACTACCAGTCACGAAGACAGTCACCAGGAGACGCAATTTTATCATTCATGAAAAATTTAAATCGGTTCATTTTATGCTAAAACTTGCGTTGAAGATGCTGTCCAGAGGGACGGCGAAAGCTCCACAGTTAAACCAACCAGCTCAGAGACCACTACTAATTGAAAAACACCAAGATTGTTATTGACTACTATACTTGAATATTCTGTGTATATAAACATATATATAATTGTAGAGCCAGAAGAGGAATTATCGAAAAAGATATTCTTTGCTCAGTTATTTTGTGTTTTATAGATGTCTGAATAAATATTTTTGTAATAATGTGTTTGTTAGTTTGGTTATGGATAAGATTTTATTTTGATAAATCACACAGTGTTACACAGTAATATTAACTAATGACGTTTCGAGCACAAATTACTGGCACTCATAATCATATCAAGTCACTCACACCACTTTTTACTTGATTTATATACAAGAGTGTAATTGATTAATATTTGACTGAAATCAATATAAGATAAAGTACATTCAGAAATAATATTAGTGTTATCAATCCAGTACAATCAGATGGGCAATAAGATGTTTTTATAGTGAAAATAAGTAACTTGCAAGCATGTTATGATGTACTTGAATTGAAATAGGATTTTAACATTATTTATTATCCTCTTCTGATTTGACTGGTGGAAATAATATCTTCCATATCTCTGGTATTTGCATTGAGTCATTTCTCTATCTCCACCTACCTGTAATACTCTTTAGAATTTTGACTCTGTCCCACTCACCCTATTATGTGATTGTATGTTAATGTATGCAGTGCGATTGCTGAGTGCTTTATTCTAAATTACTTCTCGCAGGGGCAATCATTCTTACCTTAGCTAAATTCTTATGTTCCGACAATCTGACTACCCCCGACCTACTAGTTTGATCTATGTTATTATTATTATTATTTCCTTTAGTTCCTAGAGGAACATAGGGCTTCAGCCATGCGTCTCCATTGCGTTCGGTTCTCTGCTGGAGTTTTCACCTGGCTCCAGGTCTGCCCACATGCTTTCATCTCCTCTTCACATGATCTCCTCCAGGTCACCTTTGGACGACCAACTCGTCGCTTCCCTTTCGGGTTCCACTCGAGGGCTTGTCTAGTGATGTCACTTGCTGGTTTCCTCAGAGTGTGGCCAATCCATCTCCATTTCTTCCTTCCTATTTGTTTCACAATCGGTTCCTGGTTGGTTCGCTCCCAGAGATCTTTGTTGCTGATCCTTTCCGGCCATCTGATCCTGAGTATTGAGCGAAGACAACTGTTAATGAAGGTCTGTAGTTTGTTTGAGATGCTCTTTATGACGCGCAGTGCAAGTCTCTGATCCGTATAGTAGCACTGACTGCACATTGGAGTTGAAAATCCCGATCTTATTTCTGACGCTGAATACTGTTGACCTCCACACAGACTTGAGAGTAATGAAAGCTTGCCTTGCTTTCCCGATCCTTGCTTTGATATCCTCGTCAGTTCCGCCTGTAGTTGAAACAATGCTTCCCAAGTAGGTAAAGGAGGTAGTTTCTTTCAGGTTCTTTCCATTTATGCTGATTGCTGTCTGTTGTTGTTGTTGTTGTTGGTGTTGGCCAGGGATCCTCATCACCTCCGTTTTCTCTATGTTCACCTGGAGTCCTATCTTTGATGCTTCTTCTGCCAACTTGATCTATGTAGTTGACCTTAACTCACTGTCATTGCAAGGTATTTTGTAAATTATATTATTTTGTTTAATGGGGTTCACTGGGTCTTTGAGCCTACAGAGCTTGCCTCTGAGTGAGTTTGTAGGTTTGAATGCCACCCTAATTTCTGCTTTGTTGAAAATCCTACGTCAATTCTCAGATGTCCCCTCCTTATATGGTATAACAGTAGATGTCTTATATTCTCTCTTATTATTATTATTATTATTATTATTATTATTATTATTATTATTACTAGTTTCACCATTATTTTTATTCTGCTTTTAACCTTTCTTGATCTACCTAATGAATTTTATAGGATAGTTATTTAACACCAACACCTCTTCTATCTGTTTTATTTCGTCATTTAGGTCTTTCCTTTTACTACTTAGTGCTACTGCTTGGTTTGTTAAACACTTAACTAAGCCTGCCTTCACAGACAACGAACGGATGAGATGAATTAAAGTCTAAATATTTATTAGAATACGTTGGTTTCTTTTTATAAACGCTAGTGTGCAGTTTACCTTCTTCTATTCGTTTTATTTTACAATCAAACATAGCTAATTCTCCTTGCTGATTTTCCGATTCAAATGTGAATTTTATTCTCTCTACTAGTGAGTTTATGTGTCAAGAAGCTAGAGATAGGTTCTTTTTTTAACACTGTGAAAGTGTCATCCACATATCTCCACCATATTTTTGGAGTAGGATTAAATGTATTAAGAGCAATATTTTCCCAGCTGTCCATAAATATATCTGCTAAGATTGGGGATATTGGTGATGCATCCCATTGCTACACCTTCTCTTTGTCTACATATTTTGCCTTGGAATTTAAAGATAGTAGATGTGAGGCATAGCTGAATTCCTAAAATATTTTTCTCAATGGGCAGCTTCGTCCTATGAGTAAGTTCAGGATCTGTAGTTAGTTCTTTTTTAACATTTTCTAAGGCCATATTGATTGGTATATTAGTATAAATACTAGTTATATAAGAACTAACCATTGTTTCATCATTCTCTAGTTCGACGTCATTTAGTTTCTTTTTCATCTCATTTGAATTACTTAGTCTAGAGTTTGAACTATTTCTAATGGGACATAATATTAGAGCTAAATGTTTGATAATTCATAAGTAGGGGTATTCCTGAAATCTACTATTGGTCTTATGGGGTAACCTGGCTTATGTATTTTACTAGTACCATATATTCTACTAGCATTATTAGTTTTAGGCATTAAATTAAACCATTAAGACTCACCCAGTGACAGCTTCATACTACGTATTAAATCCGCTGTAGACTTCTTCATCTTATTCATTATTGTATCTACAGGCTTCTTAATTTCCTCATATGGACCCGTCTTAATATGTTCAGTGACTTTCTTGATATAATAAGATTTATCCAAAACTACTGTCCTTTATCACCTTTTGTGATGACGATGTTTTTATCCTTTTTAAGGTTAATTAGAGCTAATCTTTCTGAATTTGTTAAGTTTGACTGTGCCCTGTTTTGGTCTTAAGAATTAATCCACATTGAGTTCGAACCTCTTCTGCTGTCGTCTTATCTATTGAACTCAATGCTACTTCTATGATAGGGATGACATCTGGTTTTAGTTTGTAAACCGTTACATTGAAATTTAATCCTTTTTCAAGTAATTTTATCTCACTAGAGCTTAATTCTCTTGAAGAGGTTAGAAGCAGAATAAAAATAATGGTGAAACTAATAATGATAACATAAATAGGAGAGAATATAAGGCATCTACAGTACTTTTACCATATAAGGAGGGGACATCCCTCTTGGTTCTTCGAATATTGTTAGGAGCAATCAAAACCTAAATTATAGCCCTTTCACTGAAATCTGAGCGCTTAGTTCTATGAGTTACACCTCATAATACGGGTTTTGCATTTGCATATGAGTTTTTAATAACTCATGGATTATGAATGAGGAGTCATTGTAGGGTAAATCTTCAGGGTTTCGTTGTAAAAATACATTCAATTTCCAGTCTGTTATCAGGATTCCTGTGGTTAAAATAATACTACCGTAGTGGTTGAATATGTTAAGGTAGATTTCCAGTTGTTTCAGTTAACTCGGTCAAGTCGTAGAAACTCGGCTGGAGTTATCTGCATATCCTAAAACCATCTTAAAAATGATAGATTTTATTACATCGAAAGCAATTCCAGACAGCGTCCTAGCAGTTAAAATGACAACAGTGACGGTGGAAACGAAGGAAGGTTTTCCCTTTCCATGTCAATAAGTTACAGACAACATTCGCACGAGGTTACATCTTGACACTGGTTCAACGGATCAGGTTTCTGTTATCTTCCCGCGGAGCAAAATTTAAGCAGCTACCTGGATTTTCGAATCTTCTCATGGTGTCGCGGAAATCAAATTTATGTCCCATTGAATTCCACAATGTTGATCGCCTTGATACCAATAGAGAAATTAAAACCAGTTTATGTGAACCTTGGTCAAGATGTAACCTAATAGTTTCGGAAGAGTACGCAGTGTGATCTCTCTCATATATATATATATATATATATATATATATATGCCTTTGATATCTTTTATTTCAATAGTTTCTCTGGAAAAGTTCGCACCAATCTACCCTACGAATCGTCCGAATTATTTCTTTTCGTATCACTGAAATCTCTGCAACTTTAGCTATTTTTAATTGTGACTATTTAATAGTATGAACAAAAGAGTAGAATAAAGTTGTTTAAGTTCGCCTAATTATGAATAATCTTACCTCCATTTTGTTCGTCGATTTTGAAACCAAGTTTTCACTTGTACATCTGTCATTTTCAATAGATTTGCTAATTCACTTCTTTCTGTTGAAGCTAAATACTTCTGCTGATTAAATTTCCTTTCCAGAGTTGACACCTTTAACGAAGACAAATCAGATGATTTTATTGTTTTAAACGAAACATTCAAAGGGAACAAAATAATATTCATTACTCTTTTTATCTATGAGAAAACGTCTCAAACACTGTGGAGTTTTAGTAAAATTTACTCGATAAAAATAATTATGTTCTTCTATTTTGATCTATCATTTGTGTCCTTTTTATGACGTCACTGTCCTTCTTCGCGTAAAAAAGACTGATGATCATCTCTACGACAAAGACGCCATACAACCTCACATCAATTGTTAAGAATTAAGTGGCTTCGTTGTGGTCTTTCGAGTTGCACTTTTCTGTTAGTCTATATTTGAATTACTTAGGTCATATGTTGTTTATAAGCGGTAATTTTTTAACTGTTAGAAAAGAAGTCATTATATATATATATATATATATATATGAAACCACATTTTCGAAACTAGGTGTAACCTAGATGAAGAGATAAAGCAAATAGTACTGCTTACTTGATACCGTGTAAATGCTGTTCTCGGTTTTTTGCGTTTTCTCGGTATTCTACTTTGGTAAGGATGTCCGATGCGTCTTGGTTCTGCAAAAAAAAATTCAATAATATCAAATAAACCAGTTCTTTAAAACAGTCGTCAACATGTGTGTTTAGATACAACCAATTATAAAGCATAGACTAGTACTAATAAATATAACAATATATTTATGGATCGATGTAATCTAAATCCATACTGAAGATGATACAGCAATAAACAATTTTTTAGGTATATTACATTGCATTCCTAATTACCCTAAAAAATGATAATACGCTCACCATTTTAAACAAAAAGGAAGCGTAGAGGAATATTCTCTTGTTGGATAGCTGTAGGCAACTGTTAGTAAACTCTACATCTGGGCTGCACACGCTTACAGGCACATTTCCCTAAGGCAAATAAGCAACCCTAAAGGGAACATCACTTCCCGGACTATTTAGTGTTTCAGTCAGTGGACTCACTACTAAGCCATCAAAGCTATGAATGAAATTTCGGAGGTTTGTGTTGAACAAATTGGTTTGTCGCTTTAATATCTCTTCTAAGTAGTAAGTTTTGTGTTAGCATTATAGTATAATCCTTTTCATGTATTTCACGAACAGCCGTTAATCTTTTTTCACCAGCTATGTCGGATTTGATTTCACAGTTAGATCAACTTGTGTAAGAACAGTTAATTTCTTGTCATCAATATCAAGTATATCACGTGAAATAAATTTCTACCATACAATGTTTAGACAGACTGAAAGGAATCAGTGGAAACATCCTGTTCTGGAGTTACAAGAGAATTATTGACATTTTTTGCTGCTTATTAAGTCTAATGTGGGAAAAAAAGGTAAAGATTCTAGAAGACATTTTCTGCTATCCTAGTGTCATGTTCAACATGCAGATACTTATTAGCAAACATGTTCAAGATGATCTTTACTCTCGGATGACATCAGTAGTTAAAAACCACTCAAGTGAAGCCGCTGTGTTTGCTTATGAGACAGGTGTGTTCTAAGCACCTGGAGGTTGTGAAACTTGTTTGAGATGAAGCTCATAAGCGGTGTACCCATGTCAATCACAAATTACAAATACACATACACAATGTGGTCAACTTACCAATTACATTTTCTCTCGACAACAAACTTAGTACATCTTTTGGATTACTCGAAAATATACGCAGTAAATATTTTATAATTAGGGGATTTGTTATATTACAGCCTTTTATGTACTTTATTAATATTTTAATAAACTGATTCATATCTTTATCGTGTGAACTATCATTCTTGTCGTCAATATAATTATTTTGTTTTGATAGATTCAAAAATATGTCTAAAAATTGCTTAGTCTGTGTTGAATTCAATATATTGAAGGCGTTGTCATGATTATTTTCGCTTGGATTCAATGTTAACATACGATTCAAAGTAGTCTGAGTTTCAAATCTATCCAAGAGAGGTGAGTTCAGGTGCTGAGTTATCTTTGAAGCAACTGGTGTTAAGTCTGGATGACCATGTGAAGTAAGATCATTATTGCCAACTGCTTGTGATGATGCCGTCAATGTTGTGACAGGCACCGTTTCATGAGATCTAATTTTTGCTCCTGGCAATAATGCTGCATCAAAACTAGATTTGAGAATTTCATGAATACTAAACTTCTCAGACATAACTAAAATGTTTGAATTAATTCATTGTGAATTTTCAGAATTATTTATAACAGTTTTCGTTCTGGTTTGCTTAAAACGTTTATTTTCCTTTAACGTGTTTTCTAATTGGTCGATTCTAAATTTTATGTGAGACACAAAAAACAAAACGGATTTTTATTTGATTGGTCTAGCTGTCACTGAATGAGGGAGAGAAATTATTGTAATTCAATGTTTGACTTGAAAAGCTAATTGACTGAAATACACCAAACTTTTTCGTACCCTTTCCACATAGACGAATGGACTTTATTCGTTTATCGTCAAGATTATTTACACTAGAGATCATATGTTTAGTGGTTTGAGTGGCTAACTGATACTATCAATTCCCACAAAATAAATCCAGTTGGATATACGAAAATACACATTACTACTGGGTGACATTTCTCTCTCTCTCCTCTTACCTTTCCCGAGAATGCCAATAAAAATTAATGCCTTCACGATGAGAAAAAGTCAGTCTGTATTCCTCATCTACTGCATGTTGAGTACCTAGCACTTCTGTAGGAGAAATGTTTGTCTACTTAACTTAGTAAACAAAAACTAGAGAATTATTGACAGCTTAAAACACACGGGACACATCTGTTATAATCATAGTGTTGGCTGGAGGATTTCATCATGAGCTGATATCAGTTAGAGAATCATTGGAAAACCTGTTGGGAGTACTGGAAAGTTCTTTCGTCCTAGTGTGGGACTCTTCTTCAGTACACACACATCACCAGGGTTCGAACCCAGGACCCTCTGGTCACAAGGCAAGAGGGCTCGTAGACTATTCAGCCAGTGGGACCCGATCAGATGACCAGCTCATGAATTCTAACTTCTGCCACTTCATGACACAGCGCGACCACTTCGCAATGTCTTCTCCGATGAGTTACTGCCATGACCAGTAGGATATATATATATATTCTTTATTTTTATTTATTTATTATAGCTTGATTCCCCACCGTAGTTTTTGTACAGGTATGGAATTTTCAGCATGCGATATCGGTAGCCCAAATTTTGCAGGCCAACCATAGATATCAGAGGTGTGCGTCGGACGGGGATCGAACCCCGGACCATGTGCATGGTCGGCGACAGTCCTAACTACTGTGCCACCGACGCATATATATATATATACCTATAGAATATTCTAGAATAATCGTCATTAACATTACTAGTGTTTTTAAATAGTATCGACTTGTTAAGATCAAGGACATTACAGTTCAAGAAAGATGCTTAATTTATAATAAGCCCAAAAATGTAATAGCAAATAGAACAAATAAAATTAAGGAAATTTCCACAAAAATTTGCGGATCATTAGAACATAGATGAACAAGGTAAGGACAATGTCTGAACCAGCTTCTTTTGGACACATAAGTCAGACTTCTTAATGTGGATCCCAATGGTCACAGCAATATGTAGTAGACGATCTCTCAAGGCGAGGATAAGATTAGTTGGTATGCGGTAAATGATTTTGAAAGCTATTTTGACATCAATATTGTGTTATGTATCCACAGGATGAGATAGAATAGCGCTATGAATGGATTTTATTTGTCCTTTACTTAACCAGGCAGAGTGATGTTCGGAAATCCAACGGAAATAATGCTTAATTGTATGGCCTCTGTAACTGGTTCCACAGGAGCAGACACACTGGTAGATACACATAGAAGAGGCAAAATTAGGCAGTTTATCTTTTACTCCCGAACGCGAAATGGAGGTGGTTTTGAAGACACAGCATACTTCAGCAGCACTGAATGCTCCTTTCACCGTATTGCTTAGGCGTTATGTTAATATCTCACTGATGTTATCTTCGAGGAAATGAAGTTGTAAGAGTAAGGCCTTTTTAGGAACTGTGGATACTTTGATCTGCCTTGACTTTTGATTCATATCCTTATCGATGAAGTTATCTGGGTAACCGTTCTCGCTCAGCAACTATTTAATAATATCAAGGTCTTCATTAAGACATCCATCAGAGCAAATTGATCTTGCTCTGTGGACCAAGCACTTTATTAGATTACGTTTGGATATCAGAGGCACGAAACTGAAAAAATGAGCATAGTAATCAGTTGATGTAGGTTTCGACGAAACATATAATCTTGGTGTGAACGTCCCATTGGGTTTGAGTGACGTATACTAACTTTGTGAGATAAAGCCTTGTTATCTCAGTCTTCTCAATGTTTCATCTATCTGTTTCTCTATCTTATCAGTCGGATACAGAGAAGATGAGATTTTTTCGAATTTTAGATTGTCATTAAGAATAGTATTCATCTTCTGGATGTAATCCGCTTTGTTCATGACAACCACTCCTGGACTAATATCCGGTTTTATTATTATTATGTTATCATATGGATGGTCAGTTTTATTTGCTAGTAAAGTTCTGCAAAACTTTTGGACGAATAATACCAATGAGTATTAAAACATTTGGTTTACATTTAAATTTCTACTACATAATAAGTGACGTATGTGCATCAGAAACTAGGCTCAGAGTGTATTTATTATAAGCTGAATGAGACAAAGTCAACACTCCATATATTTTGAGTGTTGGCCTTGTCGGTCAGGTATTCAGTAAACCCTCTATTTTTTTGTGATCTATAATGCTCGCTCATTAAAATCACCTAGGTAATCATTGAAAGCCAAGGATTGCTGGACGATTGTTTCTTCTTAATTTGTGATTCTCCAGCTTTTCGCACAGGAGAACCAGCCAGGAATTGAAACCCGAACCTGCGTATTATCAGGTGAGAGTGTTGATTATTCAGCTAATGTGTGTCTTAAATTATGTCAATTAACGACATATCTCTATCATCAGCCATTGCTGAGCAACCACTTCACACCTGATATTTTGAACGCCACAGGTCATGACTTCACATTAGAATTTGAGGACATTAATTACATAATTACTAAGATTTTGCATTTGTAAGGGTTATGATTACGATTTTTCCGACTGTAAATATATTTGTTTTGTAAAAACAATCCCGGTACGTCTTGTTCCAGTCAATCTCCAAACCAGTCACAAATTTCTGCATTCAGTGTTCCTTATCTTTTTTTTTTCCGAAAGAGCAAACAACATAATTACATTTTTATTTTACATCTTGATTTATTCAAATAATTTCTAATACCTTATTATTTGTTTATTTTGATTTAGAACAAAATTAGAATGGTGGAAGATGAATTTTTCTGAATGAAGAGAAAATATTAATTAATTTTTAACACAGCAGAAATTGCGTTATCGAGAATTATTATTATTTAGAAGTCTAAGGGATACTTAAAACGCCAAATTAATCTAATTCTTCTTCTTCTTTCAATTCACACCTAATTTTTTTATAAATTAAACCAAGAGAGAAGCAAATATTTGGGAATAAGTTATTTAAATAAATTAACTGGTCAAAGTTACCATGACAATAATTCATTTATGCACACAATCACTAAACTAAACTTACTTATTTCACTCAAAAACAACATTGAATACACAATACAAATAATTGGATTAGACAAGTTTTAATTAAATTAACCAAAAAAGAAGTGGACAGTTAACATAAACGATTAGATAATGTTCCTATTATTAATTTTACTTGATTAGTCAATATAAAAGCTATTGGGAAGAGAACATAAAGAGCTAAGCACAAATATTCTCTGTTAATTGACCTAAGATATTTTATATCCTTAAACTGGTATGACTACAAGCGATTAGTCCAGCAAATTGGTTAATTTTTCCGAATGCATGACCACATCTCAGTTCTATGTAAATAGATTTGTATATTCTTTTAAGGATGAAATGATAATTGACTTTTAAGTTAGTGAAACAGTTAAAAATCTTTGGTGTTTTGTTCAAGCATTTAATTTGATTAAGTTATGTCATATTTAGCTTTTCTTTCTTCTGTTTGTAAAGCGAAAACTAAGAAGGCAATATTTTCCATTATAATTAAAGGTGAAGTAAATGTGACATTTTTGTTCAGTGAGTTTTTAGGTTTTATTCTCGAGAAAATTTAATAATACGCAGATAGAAAGATTGATTTACCCTGGCATCTGTACGTATCACGTATAATATTTGTTTAAAACTTTTTTAATTACACAGAGTGTCCACTATGTTTTAGAAAATAAATCGTTTAATAAAAATCGCTGATGTTCAGTTGTGAAATATATACTTGATAAGTGTAAATAATAGTAATGTAACGGCAAAACATAAGACCTTGGCAGCAGAAGTCAAAAAGATGATTTTTTTCGCTGCAACTTACATGATGCCCATGTTGATTGGTAATGAATTAATGTGCACACCACCTAAGTACATACAAGTATTTCTAAAAATGTTTTACCTACCCATGTCAGACGTATATTGAAATCAAATTTTGATATCAACCCTTCAAAAGTGACCTTCTGACTGACACCTTGAAGATGAGAATATCTACTGCTCTCAGAAGGACATTCTTCGCTGTCACACTACGGCTGAAATTTTCCTCCCGGCCATTGTTCTTCAACTACTCTAAAGATAAACTATCGCATTTGACCACTTCCATGTGTATCTACCAGTCCACCTGCTCTTGCGGAGCGAGGTCGTTCGATGCGAGTTTTATCTAAAAAAGTTCACGATCACTATCCCGCCTGGCTACGGAAAGGTAACAACGGAGCAATAAGGAGCGCCATTATTGAGCATATACTCAACACTGTTCATTCGATTTGCAAGGAGAAGTCGTTCAAAGTCATCTATAAAGTCAAAAGAAGCCTTCCAAAATCGACAAGCTTCCGTATACTTCGTATTGCCTAAGCCTTAGCGATTTGGATAGAAAACCCTGATTTATGCATACAGAAGAAACTTCTCCACCCCCTCCTACTACCGTGGGTTTAATTTCAAGTTTATCTGTCATCAACATTTGTTATCAATTTTTTTTGCAATTTTCGTATAATAATTTTTATTACCTAACCCATTCAATCTTTTCACCTATTATCTAGTTTATTTTCATAATTGTCTCCATACTCCTTCACTAACACCTAATCTT